TGTTTTTTTTTTTTTTTTTTTTTTTTTTTTTTTTTTTTTTTTTTTTTTTTGCTATAGGGCCCATGCACTCACCAGAAAGACAGAGACAAAGACTGAAAGCGAGAAATCACCCCCCAGGGGGGATGGCCACACTGCAACCCTTTCTCCTCCATTCTCCTCTCGGGATCTTGGGCACACACGCACATGCGCCCGGCGTGAGTTTTAAGCCACCGGGTCCAGGATGCAAACCGCGGTCGACTACGTGGGAGTCCAGCGACATAGCCATTACACTAACTGTTGGTCCCAGTGCCCCATTTCTGGCCCTTCTTTGATGGGGCTGTTCCAAACATGAGTTCCCAGCACTCCCAGCCTGGTCTAGGTGGGGATCCGAGCAGAATGCCTCCTGCCCAGCAAGCAGCCTTTGGCAGGTATGGGAAGGAGAGGACTGAGAGGCTGAGAGGGACTGAGTGCTCGGGGACAGAGACAGCACTTTCTTCACTCTGTGCGTTGGTTCCTTTGTGAGCTTGAATTATGTTCACCCACCAAACTGCATTAACTCAGAGCAATTCTATTACACCAAGTATACATAATATCTGGGGCAAGTGAGCACATAGCATTAATAAGGGATGCCACAGCAAATCAGAACGTTGAGAGAATTCTTAATGTTCTCCACCTTCAGTAAGCCCGTATCAGTACGATTTAATGACTGCATTTTGTCCCAGCAGCAGAAATCGTTTTCAGCTAAAGTGCTGTGTGTCTAAATGTACATAACTTGATAAACTGCATTTAGAAAACTCAGTCAAATAGGTCCTAAATCAGTCAAACGCTTTAACAATATATATACATGTAAATTAAAATTTTGTCTCTCAGAGTAATCAAAGATTTAATTAGGTTCACAGGCAAGGCTAATTCTCGACCAAACTGAATCCAAATGTCCACCCACTTTTTTGATGGTTCAGTGCCATTTTTATTGGAAGGGAAAGACAATGTCTGAAAGTGATCACTGAAAAGCCATTTTGGTCAACCCACTGCTCATTTATTGTTTTAAGGATGCAAGAGACGGATAAGCCAGCACCAACTTGCACGTTTAACCAGAGAGCCGAAAGAACAACATGACAGCTATCTGATTTGACATCTGAAAGTCAAAGCAGAGCCTGAGCCTGAATGGACTGGTCAGCATAGCTATCAACCCCTCTGTAAGGTGACTCAGTGGTAGAAAAGGGACTTGCCTATTGCTGACTAAAATGGCACCTTTACATAATTACCCCTGACCCATAATTTCTGAGAAGCATATTCATACATAACTACATTTCTGTGGTTTGAGCCCAGATTGCAGGAGCATTGAAGGAGCTTGTTCATGAAATAATTCTGGGATTTTTTAAGAGAGATTTTTGCTATAGGGCATGTGCACGCACCAGACAAACAGAGAGACAGAAAGCAAGAAATCACCCCCAGGGAGGATGGCCATGCCACAATCCCTTCTCCTCCATTCTCCTTCTGTGATTTTGGGCACACACACATGCACGCCTGGCATGAGTTTCAAGCCTCCGGGTCTAGGACTCAAACTGTGGTTGGCCGTGTGGGAGTCCAGCAATGTAACCATCACACCATCTGCTGGTCCCAGCTAATGAAATAATTCTTTGTAAAATAGAAGTTATAAGTGTCTGTATTTAGTTTGCTTTAAGTGTATCCCTACTTTGAAAGATTGTATATATATCTGATATACACAGCTGGGGAAGTGGTCATTCAGCACACATGTAATGTAGGTAACAGACCCTTGCTCCCCGCCCCAGAAGGGCCCAGGCATGACAGGAAAGATATGAATGTAAGCAGTGATATTCTAGTGAGGCAATGCCTCTAAGAAAAGTGTAAAGTGATGTGAATGCATACACACAGAACTGTGGGTGGGATGGGGGGGCAGTCTGGAACATGTACTGGAGGTATGATGTCCTTAGATAATCAGGTTCCCAGGCAAAGGACCCGCACATGTACCTGCTGTGTGCGTGAACACATGTGCTGTGCTGGGGGTCGTTTTCGTGCTGTCACCGACACCTCTTGGCTTTGTACCCTAGACATCGATGAATGTACCTCTGGTAAACCCATCTGCCCCTACAATCGAAGATGTGTGAACACTTTTGGAAGCTACTACTGCAAATGCCACATCGGTTTCGAACTGAAATACCTCCATGGCCGATACGCCTGCGTAGGTAAGATTTGGTGGTACCCTTTCCTTTTTTCCTCTCCTCACCGAACCTATAGGCGTCCTCTACTGGTATTTTGATGTCAATTCAATCTACTGGTTCATTGATCAACTCTACTGATTGGCTTAACAGCACAGAAAAGTTTTTTATTTTGTTTTTTTTAATTTTGCCACAGGGCACATGGGTTTGCCAGAGGTGGGGGAGAGAAGAGAGAAAGTGAGAAAGTCCTCCCATGGGGCATGGTCACACCATAATCCCTTCTCCTCCATCTCTTCCTCCTTTTGGGATTTCAGGCATGCACACATGCCCAACGTGTTTCTCAAGGTCTGACTCTGAGCTGCACTGTTCGCCATGTGGGATCCAACTGCCTTAACCACCCGCCAGGCCCTGGCTCCAGAAAGGTTTTTTTGTTTGTTTGTTTGTTTTCTAGGTTTCTTTCTTTTAGGAAATAACAATGACATTTGACATCAATTATGAAGCCAGGCCAATAAAGATTTAAAGTCAGGAATATAGCTCTATAATGGAGGCGAATCCCCTGAGATTATTTTGGGGGGGGGGGGGGCGAGTTTTTTTTTGGGGGGGGGGGGGGTAGTGCTTTGAAACATTGACTGGTGTTTGTTTTATTTATATTGTTGGTTCTTTTTGTGATTATTTATTTAATTGCCTTTTCAAATTTGACCAGAGAGGGACAGAGCAAGAGCAAGAGAGAGAAAGTGAGAAAGCAAGCCGCCAGGTCCAGGATTTGAACTGTGGTTGGCCATGTGGGAGTCTGGTGGCCTTAACCACCACACCACCTGCTGGCCTCTACATTTTTTATTCTATCTCCAGGTACACATCTAAAAATAGGAACAATAGATCAGTATCTATGTTTGATAAAAGAAAGAGCCATGATCCCAGTGGTCTGTTCACAGGTTTCCACGAGGGGTGGCCTTTGAAAAACGTATGAGGATGGGACTAGCAGTTGGCATAATGGCTATGTCGCTGGACACCCATGTAGTCGACCACGATTTGAGTCCTGGACCCAGTGGCTTAAACTCACGCTGGGTGTGGGCACTGGAGCATGCCAAAGATCCTGAGAGGAGAATGGAGGAGAAGGGATTGTGGCGTGGCCATCCCCTTGGGGGGGGGGTGATTTCTCACTTTCTGTCTCTCTGTCTCTCTCTCTCTCTTTCTGGTGAGCACACACACCCTATAGCAAAAAAAGAAAGAAAGAAAAATGTATGAAGAGATGGAGACATACCTTCTTTCCTCTCCCCCTTTAGCCCTTTCGTAGTCCAAGCTCCAAATAAAATGCTGTCTTCGCATGGCCACTAACATCACTCTCTCATAAGATTCTGAAAGCAGTCAGCTATTGGCTCATCGGTGAAATGAAGTCTTTTGGCCATCAGTGAAGAGACTCCAAGTTTAATCAGCAAATGAGATGGGCTATGTGGGCACCCCTTGAGTATTTTCCCATTGCCCTTGATGTAATGTAGACAGGACCCTTCTGCAGTCAAGGGACATTCAGATTCCTGTGGATCTTTCTTGCTTGCTTGCTTTTTTGTTTGTTTGTTTTGTTTTTAATTGAAGTATGAATTTATTTGTGAAAAAAAATGAGTTTATGCAAAAACAAAAACAAAAAACCCTTGCAATCCTATTCACATAATATATGTAGCAAAGGTACGTGCACGGCCTGGAAAGCTAACAGTTGGTGAGGAGGATTTCTTTCAACCGAATGCTCAGGGCTTCTCCTGACATGTCTGTGTAATCGTGTTGGGGCAACACTTGATTGGCAGGTTTTGATGTCTTGTGAAGTCTCCACATCTCTTCTCAAACACAAAGACCATCCTAGGCAAGCCCATAAAATCCACATTTCTCGTGGGCTTGGACCCCACACCTTCTTGCACCCCCACCCAGCTCTGCAACCCCATGATGCTAGGTTACTGAGTTTAATCCTGGTCCCTGATACCTAATGGGAGGCTTTACAGCACCGGGTGGGAATTCTAATAGGAAACAAATCATCAGATTTTAAAAGCGATTAAGATTAGTACCTGACCTCCGTTTGTGGCTAAGAGAGAAACAAAGGGTGGTTTTGTGTGCATAGATGGAAAGTGGGATGGAGACTAGGGCAGATGAACCTCTCACTTGGGTGGAATTCAGCAGGCTTTCCCCCTCTAAATCCAACAAACAAGCTCAGACCAGCCTGAGCCTCTCCTGGCAATCTGAACCAAATGCCGGTGCCTGTAAACTCCAGTGCCATCCATGGTTCCTTGATAATCTTGTCCTTTGCGTATTAGGAGATTAAGCCCCTACGAATATAGAATTTATTTTCTGCTATTATTATTTAGTTTGAAATTAGATGAAAAAGTTGGGAAGAAGACCCTGAACATCTTCCAGATGTCAATAGCATTGACAGGCAGGAGGTGAAATTGCTCTGGGGGAAGTGAGCAGCAGACATGCTCCCTACGGACCAGGCAACAGGCAGAGTTGTAGACACCTCTCTGTTCTTGGGCAACACTTGGCTTCTTGGAGGTGCTGAGTGGTTGCCTCGAGCTGCTCGAGTGTAAGGGGTAGTCTTGCAGCAAAGCCCTGTTACCACCAAATTGTTCACTGGAATGTTCCCATTTTTAGATATAAATGAATGCTCTGTGGATCCACATACATGCAGCCTCCAAGCCAACTGCCTCAATACCCAAGGATCCTTCAAGTGTAAATGCAAGCAGGGCTATAAAGGCAATGGACTTCAGTGTTCTGGTGAGTGGCTTTTGGTCCTCGCATCATAGCTAGTCCCAATAATGCATGCTCTCCATATCTCCTTCCTCTTTCTTTTCTCTCTCCCTCTGTCCCCTTGCTCTTTTTTTTAAAATTATTTTATTTCATTTTTATTTATTTATTTATTAAATTTGACCAGATATGGGCAGAGTGAAAGAGAGAGGGGGAAAGAGAGAAAGCAAGACACCAGGTCCAGGACTTGAACTGCAGTTGGCCATATGGGAGTCCAGCCCCTTAATCCCTTAACCACCATGCTACCTGCTGGCCCCTCCCCCTTGCTCTTGCTCCATGTACAGTATTTGAATTTTCTTTGAATTTCGTTCTTTTTTCTTTCTTCTTAGAGAGAGAGAGAGAAAGAGAGAGGCACCCCACAGGGCCCCCATGCTGCAATCTGCCCCATCTCGGCTGGCCTAGATCACAGGCACACGTGTGTGCATGAGTACCCAGTGTGCTCAGGGAAGTCCCAGAATACAAAACCAAGACCTTTCCCACATGGGTCTGCTTGTGTTTAAATTTAACCGTGCCTCAGCCTTGTCTGTTACTAAATGGACCACACCTCCAACAGTTCTAGGTGCTAGGCTTACGCTGAGTGGGTTTGGAAGCAAAAGAGGAACAGACATGAGAATGCATATAAACAAGTGGAATGGGTTATGGGACGGTACACCACAGCAGAGTACACATGTCACTGACAGTGTGATATGAATTTCCGAAAACCTGGTAGAACTGTTATTGAATGTGCACAACATAATGTAATGTTCAATGTTAAATACAACGGATGTCTATAGTTTCGATTTGATTCTTACATTGCTGTTTGCAAGCTTTGGCAAACTATACTGTACTCCACTAAGATGTACTGCGATTTTATGTAACCCAGAAATAACAATAAAAAGACAGACCCACCAGGGACCACCAGATGGTGTAATGGTTATGTCATTGGACTCCCATGTAGTTGACTGCAGTTCAAGTCCCAGATCCAGCAGCTTAAATTCATGCCAGGCACGTGTGTGTGTATGTGTGTGTGTGTTTGTGTGTGTGTGTGTGTGTGTGCGTGTGTGTGCCCAGAGGAGTATGGAGGAGAGGGGATTGTGGCGTGGCCATACCCCTGGAGGGGGGTGATTTCTCTCTATCTCTGTGTCTCTCTCTGTCTCTCCTGTGAATGCACACACCCTATAGCAAAAATCTCTCTTTAAAAAAAGAAAAAGCAACAAGAGTGCCTAATATTTTTCTGGTCACAACTACTTTCTTTTTTGTTTTTTTTTTTAGATTTTTACCATAAGGTGTGTGTACTCCGCAGAGAGACAGAGGGAGACAGTGAGAGGGAAAGTGAGAAATCACCCCTTGGGGGGATGACTGTGCTGCAATCCCTTCTCCACCATTTTCCTCTTGGGATTTTGGGCACACACACACACACACGTGTCCAGCTTGATTTTTAAGCCACTGGGTCTGGGACTTAAACTGTAGATGGCTATGTGGGAGCCCAGCATCTTAACCACTGTGCCACCTGCTGGAACCCACAACCTACTTTCAAGCACTGGAAATAAGGTTTAAAGAGAAAAGACACTGAGCTGATCAAATATGTCTGTCAGGATAGGCTAGGTTAGGGTGCACTAACAAGCCATTCTAAAATGTCAGTGGCTTAAATCCACAAAGGTTTTTTAACTGTGTAAATCAGGACTTTTTTTTCCAGAATGCACAACCAAAAACTAAGTATATGAAGCTGACAGCATTTTTATCTGCCATCCTCAAGCCTGAATTCATGTTGTTTTGATGTCTAGTAGAGTCTCACTGATCTTACTGGTCAACTCTTTAATGCATATGTGTTCAAACTTTCCATTTATAAGTCAGATGTAAAACAACAAAATATCACTGTTCTTAATGACTACAACCATGAAGGTTTGTTTACAGTGCTTTGCAATTCTCAGTCCCACATCAACACAAACATCTTATGTCAAGGAAACTTCTGTTTCTCTTCGACTGTCCAACTTTAAGTATATTTTTGGATAAAACAAATTTTCCTTTATTGTTTGAAACCTCCAACTCATAACACTGTTCTATTTGATATGTGAAGATAATGAATTTTGTTATCTGTTCTGCAGCTAAATTATTTCTTTCGTCTTTCACTAGAATGTTTAGAAGGAGAAAACTATTTTTGGGTCACTTAGTATATTACTTGTCTGGTCTTTTCCATTTTTCTTTAATTTTCTATAAAATGAGCAGCTAATGTTTCTGTTGAAAATTGATCTTAACAAAGTCTTAACGAAGAAGGATTATTGAAAAACATGACAGGTGCATGTGTGCCCCAAACTCTGGAGACAGGCCTGTGACGTGGCACATCCCATTTGGGTGCTAGCTCCCTCTCCCTTTCTGTCTGTCTCTGGCAAGTACACACATCCTCTGGCACATTAAGAAAAAAAAAAGTCAACAATCCACTGTGAGGTGCACAGAAAAGTCATAAAAAGAAAAATGAGAGAATTGCATCGTATTAGCAGTCAGTATTACGAAGTGTTATATTGCAAAATAACTTTATGTGTACATGAATTGCTATTACGGAACGTACAATGTTGATGTAGTGACTTTCATGACGAGTTCATTGTTTCGAAAATCTCAGACTGCATTAGAGTGTGAAAGAAGAGTTGGAAGGTTATTCTTACACACCATCTGTACCAGAGGAAGAAGCACCCTAAGTGTGGATAGGTGTGTACTTTACTTTATAGGTATTTACTGTTTTCATATAATTGAATATTATTAAGTGCTAGATAATTCGGCCTTGATTTGACAGTAACTACACCTCATTCTAAGAAAAATCACAACCTATATAATACCCAATTTGAGAATAACAGTTCATTCAGGAAAGGAAACTGTACCATTGAGTTACTGGGAGCATGGCTTCTGGAATCAGGTCATCTTAGCTGGATTCCTGGCCCCCAGCCTACCTATGGACTGAGAACAAATTATTTAACCATTAAGTGCCTCAGTTCCCCCATCTGCAAAATAGCAATAGTATCTAGCCCTTGATACTGTTTTGGCAATTAAATGAAGTAATCCATACAGAATAAGTAAATGTCCATGAACAGAGCTTAGCTCTGGCCCAGACTATAGCAAATGCTTGACTAGCATGTGCTAGGCCTCTTTGTCAAAATTCAACAACTGTTTCCATTAAAAAGCACCTTCTTCAGTTGTTAAAATTACACGTATGGCTTATTCCAGCCTACATAGAACATAATCAAGACATCTAATTTTGACACAACCAAGCCATGCTCAGTTTTTTCTTCTACTATAACAAACATTAGGAATTTGGAGGTGTGGCCTGGCAATGTTTTCAACTCAGCAACAGATTTGAAATATTTCAGTGGCGGAGTCTGAAAAATCATAGCAAACACGTGCCAAGTATGCACCAGGCACTAATCCTAGTAACTGACAAGTATAGTTGCTTATTAAAACCTCACAAAACCCTCCTCTTATCCCAGTCTTAGAAATGGAGAGGCGGAGACAAAGAGACAAAGAGAAGTGACGTAGCAGGAACTTGTGAGTAGAAGATGTGGGCGTTAGGAGTCAAACCCACAAAAGGGGCCTCAGGACTGTGTGCTTCACCACAGGATAAGTATGTTCAAGGAGGCCAGCTCAGCGCCTGCATTGAAGAACTCTCCTGGTCCCCTCTGCAAAAACCTCTCCTGGCTCAGCGTTAGCTCCATCCTAGCCCCGTTGTGTTTCCTGGCTCCCACAGTGCAGTGCTGTCCTCATCTGTGGCGAGGCCTCTCCTCTCAGGGCTGCCCAAACCTCAGAGGCGTGGAACATTTCCCCTGCCAGGTGATAGGAGATCATCTGACGAGCTAAACGCCGATGAATGAATATCAAAGTCAGATACCTCCTGGGTAAGATGTTCTGACCTAATAACCATCTCCTGTAGTCTTATCCCAAAGATTTAAAATGAAAATTGAGATTTTCGGGGCTGGCAAGTGGCATGGTGGTTAAAGGCGCTGGACTCCCACATGGCCGACCACGGTTCAAGTCCCAGACCTGGTGGCTTGCTTTCTCACTTCCTCTCTCTCTCTCTGTCTCTCTCTGATCAAACTGGAAAATAATAATGATAATAATAAATAAAAATCAAATAAAGTAATTATTATAAAAAATTATAGGTAGGATTTTTTTTTTTTTGGAGAGTTTTTTTGCCATAGGGCGCATGCGCTCGCCAGACAGAGAGAGACAGAAAGCGAGAAATCACCCCCCGGGGGGATGGCCACGCCACAATCCCTTCTCCTCCATTCTCCTCTCAGGACCTTGGGCACACATGCATACGCGCCCGGCATGAGTTTTAAGCCACTGTGTCCGGGACTCGAACCACGTTCAACTACATGGGAGTCCAGCAACATAGCCATTACACTAACTGCTGGTCCCCATGTAGGTAGGAATTTTTGACAAAGTGACTATTTAGAGAAATCCCATGATAATTTTTTAAAAAGATGTTTTATTATAAAAAAAAAATCCACAAAATACTGTTAAGTGTAAGGAAAGTTATTTTTTAAGAAAGATTTTTGCTAAAAAGTGTTTATTCTTGCCAGAGAGACAGAGACAGAATGCAAAAATTCACTCCCCCAGGGGAATGGCAATGCTGCAATCCCTTCTCTTCCATTTTCTTCTCAGGATCTTGGACCCACATGCACATGTACCCAGCATGAGTTTTAAGCCACCAGGCCTGGGACTTGAACCACAGTTGACTATGTGGAAGTCCAGCAACATAACCATTATGCCATCTGCTGGTCCCAAGTGTAAGGAAAGTAAAGATCCCATGTAATCCACTACCCAGGAAGGACCACTATCAAGATGTATGAATGGGACCAGCAGGTAGCATGGTGGTTAAGGCACTGGATACTCCCACATGGCCGACCGTGGTTCAAGTCTTGGACCCGGTGGCTTGCTTGCTCGCTCACACTCTCTCTCTCTCTCTCTGTGTGTGTGTGTGTGTGTGTGTGTGTGTATGTGTC